AGGGAGCACGAAAAAGTCAAAACCAGAATCAATTGGAAATATCAAAGGAATCAATAGAAGAACACATGCAATTTACATACCGTAACTGAGAAAAAAGTTGATATCAAAAAAGCTGATATAATCAGTATAGGCCTTCAAAGTCAAGATCAATACAAAGTTATACAACAATACTGATTCTAATCAATGCCGGGTGCCCAGGGTAATTGTCGAGCGCTGCCCTGACCGAGCTGGACTTTCGATAATGCAAGTTTACTTATTCCCAGCGTGTGAGGTACCAGCACGATTTCGAAAAGCTCCAGCAGCAACCATGCAGTTCAAAAGCGACCGGTTGCATCCGAGAGCTACAGCTGACTCTCGACTGAGTTAGCAATTGCTCGGGGCTGCACAGATTTCTGGCGTCAGAGGCTTCCAGATGACAACTATGGACGTTGCTGCGCACTGTTTGTTTCGATGCCCGTTCAAATCCATCATCACCTCCCGACCCTGAGGATGGATTTTGACATGTACCAGGCTTCGTTGCAGCTCCACTTGTCAGTGCATGTGCAGAACTCTTCTAATTCCTTCACTAGAGGGAGTTGCGACGGCCGAGCAGGCTGCAAAACCGTGCCGTCTTCGGGTCCGTCTCCTGTTTGTCTTCTCTTTCTGGCCCTTCCTCCCTCCCTCGCTCGCTCTTCTTCTCTCACACACGCAGTACTCTTTGGACGAGTAGCACGGGTTATTTTCCTTCGAAAAGCACTGGACAAGCAAGGATCAACGCCCAGAAGTTGCAAGTCGCACAGGCAAAGGTTTGCTTCAGTTGGAACACATGCTAACTAAACAGCGTCGGCGAACTGAATATGGTTTTGTTGAAAACATGCTCTGTTTGTTTGAACGACGGCACGGGCTCGTATGGCCAAACTGTGGTGCTGTTCGACATGCTGCGCGCGTCTACAGCTGTCTCATGCACCGGCTTTCCTTTCGTCAGACAGCCCCGGCGAATCGCAGGCTATGAACCAGTTTATCCTCTCTCATGGCTGCAAAGGGCCAGGAGACAAGCCGCACATCATCCCCGTTTTTGCCCCTTGACAAGCTCGTGACGCCTATGATGACAGTGAATTTGCCCTTCATACCACTTGTGACGTGAGGACATGTTATTGATCTTGTAGGTGCACTATATGTGTGTGTGCTGAAGCTATCAGTCTCGTGAGTCGACAATGACTCAATGAGCCAAGCTGAGGAGTTCCTCAATCACTCGCCCGAGCTGGCATCGGATTTGCATCCTGGCGGTTCCATGCGTTTCTTTTGAATGGCAATGTGCTTCCTGCACAGTCACGAGGAATTACCAGTTGGATCAGGAGGGCAACCTGGTTTTATGGGCAAAATGGGACATCCCTGCTGGAACTGAAATCACAAACAGTCACTTGGCTCACTTGCATCAGAAAGATGTCAAGAGACTTGCGAGATAAGTCAGAACATTGGCAGTTGCTAGTTCATCCCGCAGAGGATTTAGTTTGCGGTTCTGCATAGCTGTGGTTTCGACGTTACGGCAATTCCGGGCAGATTTGTTCTTTATCGCCTGCTTCTAAGGCTATGGACGGCGTTCAAATCCTGAACTTCTGCAATCATATGGTTTTGCCGATCCGCCGTTTGCAGAGCCGTTTTGGTCGGTGAGGATCTTCACTCAGGCCCTTCAAGCCTTGGCAATTCTTGACATGCGTTCAGCTGGTTCTTGTTCCAGGTGCTGGCAGAAAAATATTTCCCAGATTTGGATTTCAGCGAAATGGAGATAGATGTTCGCTTGGCAACTCCTTGGCTCGAAAATCTACCAGCCACTTGACATTGTTGAAGCAGGGTTCAACCAAGCATATGATGATTGTCAGATGGAGCCGGTCACCTCGCTGTGAATTCGAGTGTTGTTGCACGTTCGTGGGGTCACAGCGAGATTGGGTGAGTTGGGGACCCTGAAATGCAGAATTACAGCCCCGATTAGCATCTCTTGTAGAATTGAGCAGACTCCTTTTCAGAAACCAGAAAGAAACTTGGTAAATTGGTAGAACAGTCCAAAGAGCAGCAATCCCCTCGTGCATCTGCTTACTTTGTCGGAATATGGGTTCGATAAAGGACACCCGGGAGATCTGAGGTCTCGCTTTGCACATTGACGCAACACCAAGAGACATTCCCAGGCTAGTTTTTGGAATCGACCTTCAATGACACGATACACGCGGCACAAGGCCATTATAAAGTCCGAAATCTCGTGCCATGACCTAGCCATGGCGACGAAGGACCGGCCAGTAGATCTAACACTAGATTTCTAAACTGCAAGCAACAGGCATCCTCTGGAGGTCTTTCTCAGAAAACAACTTTCTTGCCAGCTGTGTGACATCTCTCGGGACTGGTAGTCTCTTGGCAGCCTGTAGCAGGCAGCGAACAGCCTTGATTCCGCGGAGATCGCACTGACATCACTGCAGAATGAGCTCAGCAGAGCGAAGGGAACCGCACCTTCGATTCTAGGCCGGATGTTAGAATCCGCGCAGTGTCCATGTCGAATCCCTCAATCCTATGAACGACTGTGAAAATGCAGGTCTGGTGGAGACAGTCGCTGAACACTTCTTGTCGTGGTACCGCTACTTGCATCAGCAGTTGGAGGATATTGTTTGACGATCGGCATCCCACATTTTTGCCGTTATTCTGCTCTTAATTAATATGTTGCTTCGCCACATGCACGTGCAACGAGAGACACACGCTGCTTGTAAGCGAATTGTAGCACAGAGGCAGTGACCAACTGCTGCAGCCGTACCGACAGATGCTTGAAGAAAATCGCCTTGGCAACGCAACCAGCTCGGCGCCTCGCCGTACAACAAGAGATGTCAGATGTCCGACGAAGTGTCGCGTAGTCACTTGGCACAGCATACACTCCGCTGGCCTCCACACGGCTTTCCGTGCAAAGAGGTCTGGTGGACCGCTGACGAAGGCAGAGCTGATGTTTCTCGCGAGAGGTCCTTTGCTGGCATCAGTGGGCATCAACGAACCTTACCATTGTGCGGCTTCGTTCAGGTTTGCAAGCCAAGTTCAAGCTGAAGGCTCGCGCACTTGTCGTAGTTGCACACTGCTCAGTGGCTGAAATACTGGCTTAGAAGATCTTAGAAGCTTGTTGTCCCAGCTCGTCCTGCTGACGCGCACGTGACGCATCATCAAAGAGCAGATAAGCACCGTTGCAAAGTCGGCTTTAGCACTGAAGCGCATTGAGTCTTGTTATCAGTTCGGCCCTTGTAGCCATGGAGCAGCAACACGAAACTGAAATTGAAACCTTCTAGACAGACCATTCGGTATGACGCGTATGCACGGCCATTGTGCCATACTGGAAAGCATCAAACATATCATATACTTGTACTAGTTACAGCTCTGGTGTCTACGAGGAGTTCTGGTTTAGCAGTTATGATATGTTATGATGTCTGATTAAGCATGCCTACTTTTCAGTCAGCGGAACAGGTCAACATCATAAGCCGGGCACAAAGAGCTGCAGAGTGCGACCTAAAGGTCGATGAACAATCTCTTTGCATATCTTTTTTCTCTTGTGGGCAGGTGACAGATCGAAGCGAGAGGTCCTGTGGAGACAAGCGCGCGATGCCGATCACACCGATCCCAGGAGGGATGCAAAGGGTGACCTTCGTGGGACTTAAGAGAGTTGAAATCGTCCGTTTTCTACACTTTTACCGCCCATTCACAGCCGCCCATACGTGTGTGTGAGAGTGTGTGTGTGTGTGCATATGTGTATATATATATACACATATTTTTAGTAAGTGTATATTTTTTTGTTGGTACATACATGTTTTATTTCTGGTACGCACATCCAGGAGACACGATATGCTGATAGTGAACTTCACTTTACGGCCATAAACTGCCGCTTACGGCCGTAACTGGCGCACTTATATACCGTCCGAAACGGTAACCGCCCAGCCCTTGCGGCCATGGCTGGGCCGGATATTCGTAAAGAATTGTTTGCTGATACTCTGTGCTGGTTGAACTGACACACGGCGGTGAGCCCCTGTGAGTGGCAGGTGCAGGCCTTTGCAGTATGGAGAACACCTTGTTTGTGGGACTACTTGTTCTGCTTGAGTCGCCTGCTGCAGATGCATTTCTCTCTTCACTTTTGCACATGAGGTGTCTGTTGTTCTCGGGCAGGGTTCGCTCGGGCATAATCTGTGAGCTCAATAACTCGGCAACAACAGAGATCGTTGTCCTGTTTTGAAGGAGACTCGGCTTTTGGAACTCTACGGTGGTTCGCGCCAAAATGAGTGAGCCGGGGCCTGAAGTTCAGTTCGCCACGTGTTAGGATCTCCATCGCCCATGTTGTCCGGAGCACCGGAGAAACTCTCAACTCCACAGCTGCCTGCATCAGCAACTCCAGATTGGCAGCCTGCAGCGTAGCTCAGGTATTTATGCGCCCTCACATATAAAGAAGCACTTCAGTTTCTGCGTGGGGAGCTGGAGCTGCTTGGTATAACTCGAAATGGAATTTTATCTCCGTGCTGTCTAATTTTTCGCGGTCGTGTGGATGTGCATGCCCGGGATTGCTCGACGACAGCATAGCGTGGCATAGCATATCAGCCGCCGGATTTGAGAATTTCTCCTAACACCCGCTACACCCACCCTGCCATGCCAGCGCTTCCGATTCTCCTGGTGCTCCCTCATACAGACAAGAGTCAGACAACGACTGTTCCCGCGGCAGAAATAAGTAACGTGGTTGGCCAGATTTCGCAGAATCGATTTTAGTGTTACCAGGCCCGACCACATCATGGCTGAGTCCCTGCAGACAGCTCACATCATGCTCCGTCACATCCCAGAAGTGGACAAGCAACTCGTGACAGCCGCTCAGCCAGGGTCCCAAAAAGTTCGCCGGCAGGGCAGCTTCATGTTCCAACGCCGTGGGTGACCTGCTACGCGGCCACGCCGCTTCATTCCTCCTTAGTTTGATCGAGCTTCGCAGAATTCGCAGTGACTTCGCAGCTTCGCCCTGGGAGGAGCAGACGAAGGTGTTCACCAGTACAATGCCTCGAGCTGTCGAATCTGTCGCCGCCTCTGCCTACATCATAGCTGTCCGGAGTGGGCCTGGCTGCAATCTGAGGCTTTTCCCACCAGCGCCCTGCCCGATAAGAGATCTGCGCGGCACTTAGGCAGGTTTGGCTGGCATGTGTTTGATGTGCCTTGATGCGCTCTGAGGCCCTGAACCCGATCGACAAGGACAAGCAGAGTGTTTTGTGACGTTGCTTTGTTCCGCGTTCCTGGGTTTGAAAAAGTCGCAGGGTGTTGTGGGCGCTGGCTGGTGGGATGTGGAGTGTCCAGACGACGTGCCTCCCTGGAGCGAGGCGACCGAAATACCTAGCATTTAGCAGATTTAGCAGATTTAGCATGCTGTCATCGTTTGGCACGGAATGGCGGGTATTGTTGATTCGCAGTGGCTTAGTGCTAGGTAGAGAAGCGCCATCCAGACTTTATGGATCAGCTGGGAGCCTACTGAACCGGCTGGCCCTGAAGATTGTCAGGTTCCTGCTGAGCATGAACATGGCAAATAGTCAACGTAACCTGAAAGAAAACACATTCTCGGAGGGGGCGGATTGGTAAACCGAGTGGAGTTGGAGCTGAAGCTTGAGGTGAGACTGTCCAATACTGTGTTACATGGACCGACCGAGGTGGCACAAGAACCCCTTGGTTTGTCAATTCCCAGGTGGAGAAAGCATCTTGCTCAGCTTCACGAAAGCCGAAAGACCTCTGAAAGCTTTTTAAGGAGGACGCTACGTTTTGGGCCATGAGGCTACCTGGACGTCATCATGCGCTTGGAGAGCGTTCTGATCGACGTCTCGCGCCTACCATATACACATGAAGACTCGTAGATCTACGCCTGCGAGGCTCCACCACACCTCTAAACTTGCTCTGCTCCCAAACACAGCACATCAGCTTTCCATTGGTTTTCGTCAGTTCTGGTAGGCGGAGCGTGCCTGCATGTGCCTGCTGCAAATTTCGATGCTCGATGTCCTGTTGCTCAGAAGGACAAGTAACGTCCTCCCAAGAAGACTACACGCACAGCGCCAAACCACAGTCATAACATTCTGAGAGGAAACACGCTCCTGCCACACAGCCGGGTGGTGGGGCGGCAGGTATCCCAAGGGAGCCTGTGGTCGGCACTGTCATTCCTTTGCGGAGAATGCCAACTGACAGGGTTCATGTTCTGGCTAATTGGACAGACATACTGGTGACAAGTAGAAAGTGCCTGAGCCAGACACGGAGCTACAACCTCTCAATCCGCACCTTCCCGACATAATGACAAATTTGATGCTGAAAACCTCCTAGAAGAACGCGCAGAGAAGGTGTTGAACACCGGTGTACTTCTTTTGCACGCATACATCTAGCTTGTGGCATTCGGCATTTGAGGTTGAAATGTGCACATCGCCGGTTCTGATAGCCAGAAGCTTACTGAGTGATAGCCTAATAGCTGTTCGTTCAGCATTGACCTGACCATCCAGATTAAGTCGAACCCGTCACATCCTGCCGGGTTCAGGTGAGCCACATCACGGTTCTTCAGCTGCTACTAGCGTACTTCAAAGGGCTGCCTGCCAGCACGGGAGCCACATCACCATGTGGGAACTACACGCATCGAGCTTTGTAATTTTCAGCGAGAGTGAACCGCAGTCTCGTCAGAAGCTGGCACGAATTCTCCGCTGAGGGTACCTGTCGAAGAGGCACGGGTTGCTTCTGTGCCTGACACACGAGTGTCCGGTAGCTGCCAAAGCGCATGGCCTGCACACGTTCTCCGCGCTACTGCCAGATCAGATGAAAGACCGCCATCCTGTTTACGAGAGACCAAACGAAGCTGAACCAGAGGAGTAAACAGTAGAGTGACCTGCGACTCCTTCTGTCAGGCAAGCAGGCACACAGAAAGCACGCAGTGTCATTAATTTGTGTCAATGCTGGTTGCCTGAGTCATTGAGTCTGAGCAGAACTTCCCACCCGAACGAGGCGTGGAAGATGTCTTTGCCAAAGTTCGGGGTGGTGGAGGCCGAAGGGTAACAAGTCGACCCAAGTTCACGTGTTTTCAACGCAGACATCGGTAGTAGGGCTGCTTCAAAGTACCTGCTGCAGGTTAATCCTACTTCCGGCGGCAGTTTCTTGTGTGAGGCCTGTGGAAGAGAGTTGCTTTCGGATTGCAAGGCCAACAAACATTCTTAGCCGAAGCCTTTATACGCCGGAGGAGCACCTCTTGTCCTCGCAGCCAACAGGCAAAGGGGACCTGGATCTGTTGCGCACGCTGGATGGGCACAGCGGGACAGGTGATGGCACATCCACTTCTCTGGAAAAGAGATGTAGAGATGACGCCAGCATCTGGCTCAGCATTCCATGCACGATGTGCATCGTCGAAGGCTTGACTTGAAACCATTGTCCGGCGCAGAACCCAGGTGAAAGTGCCAGCATCATGGCTGCGGATGTCGAGCTGCCCTGAGCCAGCGGCACTTTACGTAAAAATGACCATGTGAGCAAAGGATTCAGAGTGAAGCGAGGCAGGGCGAGGCGAGCCCATGTTCGACCAAGTGCATGCGCTTGAATGGGTGAGTGAACTTGTGATGGCCGGCGGGAGGGCGGACGTGCTTGTGCGAGCCAGCGACTGAGCAAGCAGGTGGTTGAGCAAGTGCTTGGTGGTGCCAAGGCAGCAGAAGTGAAGCGACCTAAGGTCTCTGCTTAGTTTATGCTGTCTGCACCTGGAACTGTCGGAGCTCGCCGAATCGCAGAGTCAAAGAAGTTTGTTGCCTTGGGAGTGGTTCACTGGGCCCCACTATACATAATCATCCCCAGCCAATCCTTGTACAGCTTCAAGTACCCGAAACCTCGTTGAAATTTGGTTAGGCCTCTTGCATCACGGTAGTTGCCATAAATCACCGACTCTCATGGTGACCGGCCATCTTGGGGGCTCAGTGGATTAGGGCTCATCAAAAGTGGTCTTGTCAGATAGGGTACCGTGTGCACACGGTAGAGCCCAGAACGCCGATGAACCGCCATGTGCACTACTATGTCCTGAACCTAGCCGCATGCTTGTGGGGGAAATTCGAAGCTAGGCCTGTTCCTGACGAGCACGACATGCTTTGTCAACAGTGCTAACGAGCCTGGAACATCTGCAGCTTCTCCAACCAGAGATGTAAAGCTTGTGCGTAAGGTAACAGTCCAAGCCACGACGAGTCGGGAAAGTCACATTTTGTGTCATTGAGACCATACCTGGTTCCAACAAACGCCAGTACGGTAAGTAAGGGCTCAGCATCCTGGTTAAAACACTTGGACATTTGGGTAAGCGCAACTGATGTCACAGCATTTACCCTTACATGCCAGGCCAGATGCACCGGGTTGCTTTAGTTCAGTTTATCTATGTTTATCTCAATTTATCATGTGCTCCCACACAAAGGGTCCAAGTACGAACATTGCATCATCGGGCTCAGTATACCGTTAAGCCGTTGAGCTTCAAATCGTTACCTCGTGCACGAGCTGCCAATGCTGCCTACACCCTGAACCCTGCGGGCACTTTCTAGTACTCGGACCCTTTCAATTCCAGTTTTTGCACGGTTGAGTTAGGGAAACGTGTGGGTTGAAGCCTGCAGCCCAACACAGTACAGTAGAACTGTGTTGTAAGGGAATGCACGCGACTTGTATCTTTGGTGTCTCCCAATCACTGTGTCCCTACTCCTTTCCCCAAGGATCAAACATGAAGACCTGAACCCTACTAGATTTGAGGTTCAGAGCAGTGCAGCCATCGAAGCTACCTGCGAACTGTTCTGGCTCAGCTTCGACAAAGTCGAGCACAGTGCCGGTAGCGCGCCAGGTCCGGCGCATATAATCCCCTTCGCAATGAAGCGTTTTCGTATGTTTTATGTTCTCTGTTTTCTCGTACCTTTCACACTGTCGATGAAAACAGCCACTTGGCTTTTTCTGCAGTATCCGGTGCTTCGCGTTGAGCTGCTACTCGTCTCATGTGCCTCCAAGCAAGGATTTCTCCCGATCCATCCCGATCGACGCTGCCAAGCAGGGGATGGAGCGCATCCTCTCGAAAAACGTGGCGCGGAGCTCTGCCGGGTCTTGTCTGCATTTCGCTTCGTGCCAGGCTTGCCAGTGCTGCCCAGGTCGACGACCTTCAAGAAGACCAAGG